ATGCAGTCTCAATCTGTATGAGGTAAAGTGATTAGCTAATGGGTTAAATAAAACGTTACTAAATAATAGCACAAGTCCTACCGTGCATTTATGTCGTAAAGTTTGCAGTGTATAGACTGCCTTTAGGCCTAATATGTGTAAGCTCGACCACCGTAATCAGTGATGTCCACTATTTGCCTGAGAGCAAGGACGGTGACTGTGGTCAGGTACAGTGAAAGTAGACGAGCCGCCATCTACCCCACTTCAGACCTTCATCCGCTTCAACCGGTGCCAAGACGAAGTCGAGATGACCGAGCAGGAATCAGGTGTAAGCCGCTTTCACCAGATGTAGCCAGAAACATCGTCTAAACTTGGTATTTAATGACAGTAGACTTTGCGTGGTACTACTACACTGTCTACCCTCACTCACCTATAGTATGTGTCGAGCCAGACTCTAGTAAGCCAGGACTGGTACTGTTACTACCACTACTGTTATTTCTAATACTAATAACTAGGGTGTAGCTGGGTGATACTATTTGCTGGTACTATTACTGACTGTTTTGTAAGTCATAGGTGACGCTGATTAAAGTCAGCACTGGGCTCGTATTCCCTCAATCTCAACAAGAAGTGTAGTAGTACTGGTGCTAGCACTGGCGCCACCATTTGTCAACGGCGACCCTGAAAAGGCCAACGCTAGGACTAATCTCCCCTTGGTCTCAACAAGGAGTGTGACTGTAGGTTTAACTATTTCGGTTAAGTACATGCCTGGGGCCCTGAGCACAGCAGCGTTTGTCTTAGTTTCCGCACTCTCAACTCTATCCATCGAGCTGTACGGACTGAGATACTGCTGATATATGTACGTGTCTATGCTAAAAGTGCCAATTTTATAATGATCATGCTTACTAGGGCCGGTAGATAGTATACTATAAGTACTGCCTGTGTGTGCTTTTTAAGAGGCGGCACCCAGTATGCACTCCCAATCTGTGTAAGTAATAGTGATTAGCATTTGAATGATAATAGAGTGTTTGTAAAGTAATGCACAAGTCCTACCGTGCCCTTATGCCGAGCAGTTTGTCGTTTATAGACTACATTTAAGCCAACTACTGTACCTATCTGTAGTAGTACGACAATGCTGTATTAGGTAGGTATATTAGGACAGTCTAAACCAGTGCAACAATTATAGGGCAATATTAGTGATGCTCGTCGTATAAAGGATAGTGGTGGTACTAGCACATAAGGACTTTCCTTGGTTTCCGCCCTCTCAACTTTATCCATCAGGCTGTGATATCTTATTGGTAACGAGGCGTTATTAATTAATATCGCAGGTTCTGCCATGTCACATGGCGCTACAGTAGTCTTTTGCGCTGGTACTATATCACTATTTACCTTCACTCACCCATAG